GGATGGATGGATGGATGGATGGATGTATGTTTGTTAGCGTTTGTAGCCTAAACAACTAAACAGATTTAGATGAAATTTGGTATAGATGTAGAGGATAGTCTGGAAGAACATATAGGCTTCTCACTTTTGTTTTTTTAATTCCACGCGGACGAAATCGCGGGCGAAAGCTAGTATTAAATAAATTAAATAGCTACGAATCTTTCAATCTATCTTTGTTTCGATTGTTAAATACATAATCACTTTATATTTATGTTCATAGCCCAACTTAGGAAGTCAATTTACGTTACTCGAGTCATAACTTTGCGGTTTTCGTTAATATAAACTTTAGGGACCAGTTTTATTGGGCTTGAACACACTTTTAATTTGAACAATTCATTAGTATTCACTTCGATATTGTATTATCTAATAAATTGATCTTCAGTTATAATGAATTTCGAAGTTCTGTGATAGTTCTGACTTGCAGAATTGTGTTTGAGTTTAGAGGTTATAGATTAATTTAATGCTGTAATCCAGTTATTGTCTAACTGCACTCTGAATCGTTTAGAAGTAACTAAATGCCTTACTAAATGTAAGTTAAGTTTACATATTGATTTAAGTAAACCCCAATTACGACCTTAAAATTTACTATAAATCAATAATCTTACTCCTTACTAATAATATAAAGTTTGGATAGATGTTTGTTAGAATTTCTAGCCTAAACTGCTTAACAGCGCTCAATGATATTTGGCATAGATATAGAGGATAGTCTGAAAGAACACATAGGCTCACTTTGTTTCTTTTTAAATTACACGCAAGCAGAATCGAGGGCGAAAGCCAGTAGATACATAAATATATAGCTATTATATCGATAAATCCACAGTTACAGGAATTAAATGAAGATCTATAGATATGGTAGTTATTGTTATTCTTTCATTAGCCAAGTTATCGAACATTAGTAAGTTTTAGTCGATGGTAGGACGTGTCAATGTGAATAGCGTGGCTGTATCGAGGGTACAGTTTGGCTGCTTGCCAGAGCTAACGCTACAACAGATGCTCTAAAAAGAGTTCAAAGTGCCGAAGAACCACCCGGCTCGAGACGCGGAAGGGACTGCTTTTACTCGAAATTTTCCTTTTTCTGGACGAAATGGTACTTATTTATTGGGTAATCTTTGTAAATGTTTATCTCATTATTGCCAGAGTTGTTCTAATAAAAGAGTTCTGAATTTTAGTCTTCGAAAATAAGTTTAGTAAGAATCTTGTTCTTATGTTTTCAATTTCCTTTTAGGCCCGATTCTGTTTATTGAAATAACTAGTTTTATCTTTATATAAATTGAATATCAACTAGTAATTTAAAGAGACGTTGAGAGAATCTGAAAAATGTGTATTGTTGTTCTACTTAATATATTCTATAAACTAGACATACTATAAACACCAAGGCAGGGATAAATTTTACCCTTCAGCATATTTCTCTAATATAAAAATAATCAAAGGGCACTCTCATACACTCACGAACACACAAATGTAGCAATTAACTTTGTTACTGACATCTTTCCGTGTATTAATCTTGTGTTATTTACGGGGTAAATATCTTGCAGTTAGCATACGACCTAACCTATAGACATACATACCAAATTTAAGTCGAATAAAATCATGGTTTCCTTCTTAGGAATCGTCTTCCTTGAATTCTTCGTCGTCTTCGATGAAAATATTCCTTGATATTTTCTTCACTACAGTTAACTTACTAACATTATACATGCGAAAGTTTAGATGGATGTTTGTTAAAGTTTCTAGACTAAACGGCTGAACAGATTTCGATGACATTTGGCATATACATAGAGGATAATCTGGAAGAACGCATAGGCTACTTACTTTTTTTTTAATTCCACGTGGACGGAGACGCGGGGGTAAGCTAGTATTAGATAAATGAACGTAATGTTATTGTATGGCTGCTCGATTTTCTCAGATTCAAACTCCAGCACAAAGACGTCGTGTTTACAGTATTTGCATCCATATGAGCTTGACTCGGCAGCCTCACTGAATATATTCAAATATTTTCCGACCGTATAAACTAGATATTGCGTCCTTGGACATTTCAATGTTATTAGAAAAGTATTTATTAAACTACATTTACGGCAATGAAAAATCAATAAACCGAACATCAGAAACAATCGAATTAGTAATACATTAACAAAAACGGAACAGAGGATAAATGTTTTAATTAAAATATAATATTTCTGAAACAATTATTTGATTATTACGATATTCCATAAATGTCCCTAATTCGATAAATTTTATTGTTAACTTTATGTGGAATCTTGATATCTTAAAGTAATTATTTAAAAAAATCCAATTTATTCGTTTTATTATCAATTTAGATTGAAGTATAACCGAATTTGGATGTCGCCCAAATTGAACTCGTGTTTTGGATACACATATTGAGTAGTTATTTGGCAAACCTAACACAAACAATCTAATAGACATTACACAATATTTTTTTCATTATTTTTATCTCGTTTTACATTAGTAAAATTACAAATGGATGCATGGTTCTTTGTTAAGAGTTTATAATCTAAACTGGCGAATGCCTCTCGATAAAAATTTTTCATAAATTTAGAGGATTGAAAGAACACATAGGCTACTTTCTTTTGTGTTTTTTTATTATACGCGTATAGAGTAGCGTGCGAAAACTAGTTAGATCATGAATTAGTAACACATTATGCAAAAGGCTAACCTTCTGTAATGTAATGCAAAAGTAAATTATATTTGCAAATACATGTTAATTAATTGTTACTGTTGGCAACGCAGATTAAATGTAACACACCATGGACTTCTTGCACTATTAAACCATGGAAACTTTACTGTTAAATAAATTCTTTACACGAAATGTTTTGTTGATCTTAACTATTAATTTTAGTTAAAACATGTACTCAAAACTTTTACCTTTACTTTGCTCGGGTCAGAATAGTTCATTTAAGATTTGAAACTTCAAACACTTATAAAAGATTCACATCTTAAGTTTATTATAATGCGAATAAAAGAGTAACAACACAGTTATACAAATATTCAGATGTATTACGATATCTATTCATATTTGAATTGTAAAAGACATAAAAGGATTGCCCTGTCTAGACGGTCTTAAGCACCTTTATATCAGTTCCAAGTATCGTTCACAGGAGATATTCTTTAATATAATTTTAATTTTTTTGAGTAACGGACCTTTTCCTTTAATCTTGATTAAGTAGAGATCTCAACGTGAATCGTTCGCGAAATGACGGTTAGTCTCCGCCATTTCTTAAATTAGCTACGTGACTAACGGACGGCTGGAAATATTATAAATCTCTTCTATAAATTGTGTTATCACAATTTTTATCTTTCACTATAAGCCATTATATTCTATAGTTCTACCTAAACGTGGAATTAAGTTCTTATGGGAATTTCATAAAAGCGCAGTATTAAACTGTATTTTCTATTTATATTTGCTATTCAACTTGGTGCACTAAATACCCAAATCGATAATCTTACTTAATATTATAAATGCGAAAGTTTAGATGGATGGATGGATGTTTGTTAGAGTTTGTAGCCTAAACGGCTGAACGGATTTCTATCAAATTTTTCATAGATATAGAGGATAGCCTGGAAGAACACATAGGATATTCACTATTGTATTTTTCAGTTCTACGTGAACGGAAAGCTAGTAAATCATTAAAGGCAAGTCCCACCACTGGCTGATAGAAACCCAGATAGCTTAAAAATGACATCACTGGTAAGGTAACAAAATCCGATATTTCCATCACATATATTATGCGTTGGATTGTTATCAAACAATTTACAATTTGGTGGGACAGGCCCTAAGTCTTTTCTCTTGTGGAATTATTTATAGAGTCAAGTGGGATTTCACCTTTCTTAAGAATCTGTTTGATGTTGCTATTAGAAAGCGCAAACTCAATTGAACCGACAATTTCAAAAGGGTTTATCATAATATTGATTTTATGTACACTGTAATAGAAATTGCAAAATCTATCTATTTAATTTAACGAGATATTTTGCTATTGTCATTCAAAATTTGTAATTTCTTGTATCATGTAATACATAACTTTTTACGTTCTTAGTAAATTTTATTCGATTTCAATACTTACATTAGTATTTGTCAACATTGATTGTTTCGATTGAGGTGATGTTAGCATCAGAGACAATCATTTATATTTTATCTTTGCAATTCCTTTTTTTACTCTGTGACAGTTTTTTTACTATTATCTATGGCACATGGCTTAATCTATGAAGACGCTTCCGCTCACTCTTCAACCAACCTCGCGACAACGGAAGCACTTCGGCAATAAGTTCGATTGTACAATATTTTTGCATTCAAAATAACAAGATTGGTACAAAAAAAGAAAACATTTTTCAATCCTTGTTCTGCAAATGAACAATCTATAATCTATGCGTTAAGGCCATCTAAGAAGGTTTTCACAAGATCAGTGACGTACGAAAAAATTCTATACGTATTTTGTACACCAATCGAAAATGTTTCAGCATAGTTATTGGCCCGAGAGAGATTCGGGATGCCATTATGAAATTGAATTTAGCTGGAAACATGTATACGGTTCTCTCAGTATTAAGAAATTAGATTTTATAACGTCTGTACAGATTCAATCTTTAGGGACCTGATCTTAGATACCAATATAACAAAAACGAATATAAAACAAAGGTACCAAAGAGGACCCAAAAACGATTGAAGTTTACTTTTAGTTGCCTAATGTTTGCCTGAGTAATAAATAACTAGCCACCAATGAAAGATGACGTTGATTTTTGGCTTAGTTTTAGAAACAACATCGACTACTTAATTAACTGTGATGCGGGAGTATGCCATAATGGTTTCTCAGGGTCGGAATAGTTCCTCTGAGTTGCTTAGGCCGCCAACTGCAAGCAGTCGACAGCAGTGGGTTCCAACATTCAAATAAGCCAACTGCCAACTGCACAAACCAGTCTAAGTCTTTAAACGTTAACGGATTCCAACAATTTACCTGGCTATTAGGAAATGTGGCGAAGGCTGACTGCACTTTGTGTAGCGCGTGGTCTTGCTGGTGGGGTGGAGGGGGGCGACCCTTGGGGAAGTGGAAACGTGGTATGACACGCGCCGGCGCCCCGCTGCCCGCCGCGCCCCGCACCGTGCGCTGCAGGGTCGTGTGCGGCGGCGCTGATGACGCCTTTGTGGGTGTTGACGCCGCATAACTCTGTAACAAATAGTTAAATATTTTACCTATAAAATCTGACAACCTAATACAATGCTACTCTATCTTAGATAACGACTTTATGTCATGTTTTAAAGTAAATAGAACAGATCTCGCTAATTGCTAAGCATATAACTTTAGTGGCAAATTAAAAAAAAAGAAATACAAATAAAGCAGATATGTATGATTCAAATTAAAAAGTTGCTCTTTAATTTCGGTAACAAGATAGTTGCAGAATGTAGAGTAAATGTTCACTTGAAACTAATCTCAATTAATTTCACATACCAGTATATGCAAAATAATAAATTAAAATCGTAAAATTAATGATATTTCGAGCGGAGTTTTATAATTTATACGACAAATGGCTGAAAACAAAAGAGGCATTGTTTCATTGTTTTATTTTCCTGTTTGCACAGGACTGACGGACTGACTGACGGTTTTGATACGAAGGGGAATGTTCTGTTGTCATATTTGACATGAAATTAAACGTGTATATTTCAACGATATTTTACAAGTCATGGTTATATTTAAATTTGGAAAATCTACTGTTCAATTTCATTTCCGGATCGTGCAAGGTCAAAAATCTTAACTTAATTTTTTAATATCCAGAATTGCTTGAAGGTTTTCATAAACGGTTTCCACAATGCGCTAGTTATTTTAAATTTAATAACAAAAAAAACCTTTTAACCACTGTACTCACATACAAACACAAAAGCTAGTTTCGGCAAAAAGAAGATAAAAAAAAGAAAAATTTCAATTTCAAATGTCAATCTAATTCCTTCCAATATGTGTAGAAGATGTCAGTAGCGTATGCAAGCGTTATCGTAAATTAAATCTTTCAAAACATGATAGACGTATGCTTTGATTTTGGCGCACGTTATTTTCGTTCAGTACCTCTCCTTGGCCTACAATTTAGTTGACGTCACGCAGCATGGCGGATATTTTTGTATTATCCACGTGCTATATAATTTCCCATCAACGAGTTCAGTGCGCTTTCTATGCCATTAAAGTAACCACTAACTAGTAACTAGGTGCGAAACTTGGCAACATAGTTCTCCTTGAACGCCAGAAATACATCGGTTTGTTAACGATTCGCGTTAAAACGATGACCTAAAATGATAAATGGTATATCAAACGGCCTGTATTGATAGAAGTTTCTGATTGTTAAATAATCTGGGAACATTATGAACTGTATGAACTGTCGTCGAAAAAGGTTTTGAACTTTGACCTTATAAGCGGGTTTGGAGAACGTCAAAACATTTAAACAAAAACTGCCTTGCAAAAACACCATAGCATGTAAATTTCTTTTGTGATTTTCATAGTTCACTTATCATATTCGATGTTTATTATACACATAAACAAGATTTCATTTAGTTTATTTGCGTTTAGTTTGAATTATTGTAACCTCGCCTTTTGTTATTGTCTAGACAGAATGTATTAAGAGCAGATTTGACCTTGAATGTGTAAGAAATCACATACTGCCTTCGGTCAAGTCGCGTAAACAGAAACGTTAATAAATTTTATGGCTGCCATTATCTGGCAAAAGGCCGAGGGCTGAGTAAATATGACATATCTTTTTTTTTCGACACATAAAAACTTTTACGCTCCATTTGTTTGCAGGCAATGCAATCAATTACTTTCAATAAGTTTTATTGAATTATGTTACTATTCAACTATCCTGGAAAATTGAATGATTTCTTTGTTCAATACTAATTATTTAAACGAAGTAATTAAAGAATAGTATGAACATGGTACGTGGAGGAAAGAATAGCAATGACATAGAGAATGTAACATGAGCGTCGCCAGGGGGCAGCTGTCTCCTAAAAAATGAAAAGATGTAAAACAGATATGAAAACTACACCGTAGCCTAAGTCATCAGGTAGCGAAGACTCGAAGACAACGTATGTGATATAACTTCACTAAGTTAAGTTAAGTCTAAGGCCACTGCCTAAGAAGACAAAATTTTGAGGTTGACGACACAACCGAGAGGACTAAAAAAGGATGATACATTCGTTTTGTAGTTACGTTTTTCTTAACTTCGTTCTGGTGTCGGGATGGTTAATTTTGCAGTTTGTACCTGGTGCAATGCAACTGCAATGCAGTAAACATTTCAGTTATTCGACTGCATACAATTTAAATGAAATTTAATTTTATACGATGTGTGATTTTATGATTTTATCTGTATTGCATATTCTTACCAAGGTCACAATTACCGATGCCTTTTTGAAGAGACATTTTAAAACGCCTGATTCCCTTTTTAAAATATATAAATATACGAGTACAGTTTTTACTATTGTGGTATGCAAAATACCAATAAAGTACCAAATAATGTTTACACGTGTGATTATTTTAATTCCTGCAAAGTTTCGAATTAAATAATTTGCTCTTCATTGCATTTTATGAGTAAGGAAACAATTCATATAATTACATAAAAATAATAGTATAACAATGAGTATTATGGCTTTATTACTGGTCCGATTAAACTTTGTAAGCGTTTTAGTTTGAAGTGAGTCCGTCGAAGTTTTACGTCAATAAATCCGCGTCGGTAATTTAAAGTTTCTTCAACTTTTAAGTGAATATTGTACTGGTGCTAGTTGGTAAATTTCACTTATAGACTCTCTTAGTGATGATTAGGTAACTGTTTTTATAGTAAAGGACTGTAGGAATCTTATGTTGTCGATGTGAACTTAAACTGATCAACTACGGCGTGCACACACTTAAGAACTTTGTAGCTCAAGCTTGGGTCACGGACATTGGTACTTAATATAAAGCAATGACACATCGAAAACTCGCTAAATTTACAATCGACCTTCACAATTTCGAATGAATTTCTTCAATAAATTCTAAAACGAAACGAGGGTATTCGAAAAAAAAAACCAGTCGTACAGTCGGACTGTTTATTTACGATTTCAATGAGTCATACAACGGGATCATCAGCGGCTATAGCTTGTAATACAATTTGCAATGGATTCCGTCTATAATTATAAAGAACGGGATAGGATTGGGCAGAGGGGGGGTTAGGCGGCGGGAGGGGTCAGCTCGGGCGTCGTACGACCACGTGGTATAAATAGTCCCACACGTATAGTAGGTTATGTGGAGCGGCCGCGCTCGGCTCGCGCCAAATCGGGAAGCGGCAACGGCCGATAGATGCTGGGTACAATGAACATCAATCATGGATTTGCATTTATTGAGCTAACGAAACTGCATTTGCGTAGAAGATTTTCACTACGTTTAAGGCAGCTTTTATAAGTGTCTATTATGGCTTTTTAGGGCTATAGTCGTAATTTTACACTAAATACTCAGTTTTTAAGGATTACAGAAACTAAAATTGTCTTTTTTACCTGATTTTTTGGTTTTAAAAAAATTCAATTGTCTTATTGGATTGTCTTCAGACTTGTAAATCTAAGAAGACATTAATGTGACGATAAGAAACATTTTTTTCTTAAACTACATTCCATAACGCAGTAAAGTAACGAGGTCGCTGTTCCAGCTGGTGTTTATTTATAAAATTTAATGATCACATGGCACTTGAATGACATTAATTAAAATGCAGCAAAAATAAATACACGTACATATTCCCCTCATTACTTTAAACCCATTTTATCTAGTCGAGTAATTAGAGGTCGGTACAGCTAATTCATTAGCGCCACTCGAGACTATAAATGTTTTAAGTAGTTATCTTGAAGAATGAATGTTTCAACAATGCAACTTTTATGTTTTATATAGCACCATTCTAATTATTCCATAACTAGCTTTCGCCCTCGACTCCGTCCGAGTGGAAATAACACTATGTGTTCTTCCAGACTATCCCCTACATCTATGCCAAATCTGTTCTACCGTTTAGGCTACAAACTCTAACAAACATCCATCCAACCATCCACCTAAACATTCGCATTAATATTAGTAAGATTTAGAAGTTAAAATCTTAACTTTCTTTTAAACACTATAAATTGTTAAGAATTTACTATAACATAAATAAATATAAAACGACAGAAAAGTAAATATAAAATCACCTAGTAAGTAAAATTGTCGCTAATTCCGCAAAACCACGCTCGTCTAGACTGCTAACCAGGTAATCAATTCACACGTCTGTGAAACTGTTTGTGTTAACTAAAAGTAGTATAGGAGAGTTTAAGCTATTCTATAAACTGATTCTATGTTACGTCTAACGGATGACATTCCCTTAAATTAGTAATAAATTGTGTGAAAGGAAAAATGAGTCATTAAATCATTTTATTTCATCGTCATATACCAGAAATTAGTGGTCTATTCCAAATCTATTCCTGTTGACTTTACTGGGTAAGTCTATCTCTTTCTATCACCACAATTGTCTAGTTCGGAGTCGGGAACGCTGCCGTGTTTTGTTTCCAGCGTGTTTGAGCCAGCTGAGCGCGACGCGTTACCATGGCAACCATTGATCGCACGCCATCTTGGATGCAGCCGTCTGCAAAGGCGTCTACAGACCGACAGTCGCGTATATTGAATACAGTTATGCAGTTAGCGAAACTTTTATTGAATGTGCTCGTTGCAAATTGAGTTGTCTAAAATGACGGCCAATTATGAACGTTATATATATTCAAATGTTATACCTTTGTTGTACGAAAAATACGTTCTTAATTGTATTGGTAAAGTGAGCTTAGTAAGTTATTAATTTTAATAACTAAAAAAACCTTATAATTTTAGTTTTATGCTCATATGTGAAGTGATATTTGAGTTTATAACGACTATGGTTAAAGTATTTAGGAAATTTGGAATATTCGGTCTATAGCTGATTTATTACTTTACCTAGGGCATAAATGTATCTGGTATGTAACGAGAGATGCTGCGATGCGCGACAATTGAATCTGTGACACGTCACGTGTGCAGGGACAGGCAATCGATATCGCCCGCCACCGAGATAACGCTTCACTACCTATATGCGGAATTTCCTTCATATTATCTGCGTCCTTCTAGATTGGGTTTCCAATGACTGAAACTCCCAAAAAAAAAATAGATATTTTCTC